AATCATGAAAACAATATGCACACAAATATGCAACTACTATTGTATAGGTAAATATGAAAAAAATTAATTAATGTACATACGAATAAAAAAAAATTTTAATTTTAGATTTATAGTAAAAATGACGTGTTTATAAATTTACCAAAATTAATTAGTAAAAATACATTTCTACAAGACACGAAAGGTGAGAAACGTACAAAAACGACCAACGCACCAATTCGACACATTAAGTGCCCCTGAAAGTTTTTCATCAAAAATATTATCTTTTTACAGTAATTGTTAGTTATAATTCAACTCATAGAGCACAAAAAATCGTATTATGATAAAAGTATTAAATATGTTACTATACCTACTTTAATGAAAAAACAATTTTAGAATATTCTACATTGTACAAAATGTAGTAAATATGCAATAGAGAAGGGGTAAAAAATGTACGTTTTAATAAGAATCTCAATATATTATGCACAAATATTCAAGTATTTTTGGTGTTTTAAAATTCGTTATCACCTTAAACGTAATATGCTTATCTTACTTTGTCAATTTGCCCGAATATTAAATACAAATATGCAAATTTAATAAGTCCCTCGATAAGTATCGGTCACTAGTCATCATTTCACATTTGTCATACATTCATAAATCACAATAAAACGCACATTTCTACAATTAAATTATTTTTATAGAATTAAATCACATTATATTTAAAAATATAACATTGGTAACTTTAATTTGCCTGTTTACCTAACCAACGTATTATAAATAGATCTTCATCATAGCCTATTATAATATAATCAACGAGCAAAGTGTATTTCATACGTGTTAGACTTTTAAGAATATTAAATTAAATTTAAAAGTAATATTGAATTATATAGAGTATAAAATTGTCGACATTTTTTTCAATTAAGAGCACTTTACGATTCTGTAATTGTTTTTATTCAATTTATAAATGTATAATATTTATTTAGGTATTCATTAATTTTTTTAATGTATAATCATTGCCACCCAATAAAGTTGTTATGCAGAGTTAAAAGTGAGAATAGAAACGCTGATTACAGCATTACAAAATTTATTTGAATAACCAATGCCACGCATATCTTGATCGGTACCTATATTTTGCTACTGCAGTAATACTTCAATTTTATTCTGATTAAATATTTGAGTGCTACCAATAGTACCTATTACAAGTACAAATGTTGTTAAAAATCAAACACTCCAAACACGTAAGAAATTAAATTATAACAATGTCTTTTTGATATTTTTAAATCGCTTTAAGTACAATTTATCGAAAATCTTGTATTATATTTTCAAAATATTTTGACCATGCCTTAACATTTTCATTAACATTTATAAAAAAAATCGTCATAATTTTTACTTTAAACGCTCATAAAAAATTAACGGGGAGCTAATCTTTTTTTTCAAATTTCAATATTAGACAACTTGAATTGAATTTTCAAGCTTTATTGTTTTTGAATTACAACTGAAATAACACTCGAAGTTAAAGAATAAAGCATTTTTAATACTCCAAAAGGTGATGGCAGACACAAAAATAAAACCACACACATCACTGTAAAACCAATAGGTACTTTCATATGTGACCTTGTTGGGTTTATTTTATATTCTTATTGATCCTTTGATAAGCCAACCAATTTTCTCAATCTTTTCGAAATATAGTTGCGACTTGTTTTATGGTTAATTGTGCTGTATACAACCTTTTTTCTAGTTGATATTTTTCAATTATTATTTTTGATTATTATTACTATAATATTAGTTCACGGTAGTTTTTGGTTTACTTAATTTAAAAAAAAATGTTTTCATATTTGTTTTGGAGTTTCTTAAAAGTCTGAAATAGCTTATTTATAAAGAAGATTTATATGTGAATATCTGTAAAGCTGAATCAGTGTTTCCATTTCAAGTATTTTAATATTTACCATTTTAAAGTTCAGGCAAGAGGCGGAATTATTATTATATAGCGGGTACGATACAAACTCGGTGGGCCACCCTCTGTATACTACAGCTAATAGTCAAGTTCACAAATCTGTTCAGAATTATATATTTCATCAAAATATATAGTATAATATAATACATGATTCATATAACTATATAAGGTATCAATTCCAGTACAAAATATACTGAATCTCTATTTATGATAATATTTAATAATACTTTTTTTGTACTGTGAGTTGTAAATATTTTGTACCGATTGTTAAATACAATTGATGCATTGAATACACCAATGAATTATTGATAGTTCTATTGCAATTATACTACTCTTTAGTCCTATACATATACATTTTTTGTTTTAATCTGTGTTGTTACTGTAAATTATTAAAGTCAAATATTTCTCAAAAAATTCTCTATAAGGTCGAATAGCAGTGAAGCATTGGATGTATTAATTTTATAGTTATTATTTCAACAATATTTTAAGCTGTGCAAGTTATTATGTTTATTTTATTGTTTTAATATGCCGTGAAGTTTCTACTTTCGATTCATTATTAAATAAACTCGTAGCACTAGATTACGATACCTAGTTAATTCGTCGAATTTGGTATAAATATGAGTAGTAATTTTATTTAAACACATTTAAGCGTCATAGCATGATAAAATACTACTTATGTTGCAGTTATGGCTTTTTTTAATACCTGTAATCACATATAAATATTTCCCCGAGTATAGGACGTTTAGGTCTTCAGATAACGATGTATGCATACCAAATAATATACTAATATAATATACTTTTAAACTCTATTAGATAATTATTACAGTTTTAACTTCCCTTTTTTCTCGAACGATTATTACTAACAGTTATTTATTAGTAACTTTTAACCTCAAAAGGCAGAAAATTTTTTATGTATTCAAATTCGATCGAAATTCATTTTTTAAGATCATCATCATGACTTTTGTAACTATGATCGTAATAAAAATCCATATAATAGTATCATATTTATATATATATATATATATATATGGATATTTTTGAGGATATTTTATTTGATAACAATTACATTTGGATGATCCTCGACATTTTTCTAAAAAAATTTAATTATAATAATAACTTTAGGTTGTTTCTGAAAAACTAAATGGTTTCCAATCAGATAAATAATTTATTGTTCTTAACTGATGTTTCACCACATTCAGATGTAATGTAGGTACTATAAATCATTACACGGGTAACAGTATTTAAATGTCAATCGAATTATTATTAAATATTATGCTAGCCTGACACCGTGACCTAGCTGTTATAATGCTAATTTCTACTGTCAAAATTATTTCGTTGTTTGATATGTGACAGCTCTGTTTGTGTAGATAAGTTTGGTGCTTAATCTGAGGACACAGTAACCTTCATTTTAGATTATGTATCAAGTTGACGATATTTTCTTAGATGTTACGTAATACTACAATCGGCCAGCAATTAAGATTTAACTAGAGGTTAATTAAATTCCAATCAATTTCATATAATTAATAATTAATAACGAATACATAAACTATAACCACTAAGACATAATAGACATAATCACTTCAAACGGCTCAAAAACAATGAATTAAGTAAGATATGTAATGAATTTTTATGTACATAGTATGTTATGGTATAATGATATATCATTACATTTTCAAATCGTTCATAATTTCACCAAAAAAGCAACAATTTTAATAAGGGACATAATCACTTAACCCCATTTCTCTTTACAAAGGTAGCAGTATTAACATTTTTGATTTTTGACTAAAATAATATGAAGGACTAAATCACATTATAATTTAACCAAACCAAGTATAACCACATTTTATATCTAATTATACAATTATGTGTTATACATTTGTTGACTGACGAACAGTGAGAATTATTGAAATTATACAAAGCATAATGTCTAAATTAATAATGTTCTTATACTGTTGTAGCTGTAGATTTTATTTTATTCAGTTATAATAATTTAGTTTATACGGTATATTAGCGATTTAAAAAAGTTATTTATTAATCATTATCAATTTTCTACAATATGATAGAAATTACGGCATATAAAAAATATGATGGCCAATAGAAATTATGACATATTTAATATTTGAAAATAATATAACTGTTTATAACATAGTTCTTTTAAGTTACTTTAAAATGTGCTAAAAATGTTTTGGTAAAAATCGTTATTTCAAGTGTGATTATACAATGTCGACAAAATTTGAACTTCAAACAATAATAAAAAATATATGTAAATTTATTTTAAATTCCAGTAAAAAGACTTACATTGAATATTCAAACCTTAGATTTTAATACTAAAATATTATGAATTTCTAACTATATGAAAATTCTAGTTAAGGTACATATTTTCTTGATATTAATGCATTTCTAAAACATTGGAATTTTAAAAGCTTATAAAAAAATGTGTAACTATATATTTTTATGTATTATATTTTATACATATTTTAATTAATTACAGTAGGAACAAATTATGAGAAACTGTATATTCAATTTTTAAACAAACAAAAATATTATCATAAATAAGTCAACAATTTCAAATATCTATGAATAGCGCAAAAAAATAAAAAAAATGTTTCTTATATTACGTATAATAAAGGCTAATATGAACATTTGGTAAAAATTGCAAGTCAATACAACAATTCGTTTTTGATTTAAAAATAAATAAATCATTTCATCAAACGCTGGTATTTTTTTGAAAAAATTCTGTTTTACACAAATGTTCTGTTTGTTATTCCCAATTATATTGAAAGTTACTGGGATTTCATACTTTTGACCCACAGAAGTTCCAACTATAACTATCTTCGATATTCAACCAGAAACTCCTAACAAAGCTGACGAAATATATTTTCTAACATAAAAAGTGTCTTCAAACACAAAAACAAAACCAACAAATAGAAAAAAACACATTTCTTTATAAAACCGATACGCATCTATCGCTCCACTCGGAGTCTAATACAAATGTTAGTAGCTAAAATGTTTGTAAATCTAATTGTAATCTATACTGTTTAAATAAATACAATATATTTAGAGTACTTACGAGGGGAGATGATGAATTTTTATAATATCAAAAACACTGGTACAATTTTATCGTTAAAAAATTATTTTACCAAAGCACACTATGTCGTTTTATTTTTCCGTAAGCTTCACGTGCAAAATGCTATCGAACGGCTCAGCTGCCGTCACCGCGCTAACTGAAAGTCCAAATACATCCGGCGCCAAGCTGCGACCTCCCTCGGGATACACCACAAAGGGTGTGCTTTTGATATGCGCGCGAAAATCCCTGCGGAAAATGAGTTTGTATTATATACACCAACTTACAGAGGTGCAAATTAAAAATAAAAAAAAAAACGACAGAAGCTCGTTGTTTGATTTATTTACTTTTTGATTTATCAATAATACAAGGTTTATATTTTTATTTTTCTCGTTCAAAATACCAGACAAATATAACATCATTAAACCCGTACCCAATTGAGAATCTCAATATTATTTTATTTCCATCGCCAATCTTGCCCGCTTAAACAGTTGATTATTCCAATCAATTTATAAATAATAATAAATTTGAGCTACAAAAAGGTTATTTACTATATTTTGTTAACCCGCAACTGCACGATAGTCGATAGGTGATATTATCATGTAATACGTTATGTAAAATTCTACAATTTATTCTACAAAAAAATACAGTGTTAACAATTATTATAGGTACACCAAATTAACTTTTTTTTGTATTCACTTAATAAGTTGTCCATTAAAACGGTACTCAACTATGATGTATTTAATTATATAGTTATATATTTATAGTTTAATATTTGATTTATGACCGATCACTGTAGTGAAATTTTGAATTTAAAAATTCTTTATATTTAAAAATGTACAATTTAATTTTCAGACTTCAATTTCTACAGAAAATAATCGTGATTCTATAATTTAAATTATTAATGGATGATTAACTTAGAATATTATTATTTTTATATTAGAAACTCACTGCAAGATAAAAGTTCAATACTTGAACATTTTAACGGAGTTCTTTATTTTTTCACATCTCGATCTCGAACAAGTTAAAATGCTTTAATAAACTTTCAGCAAAACAAAATCAATTACTTAAGATACAAACGCTCCATGTAACGAGTGTATGAATGTGTCCATAATGCCATCCAAATAATATCATTGAAATAAAATATTACCATTTCTATCTATAATATATAGATTTTATAATGTATTGAATTTTTTTAAATCTGGTTTGAGTATCTTATTGCCTAATTATTGCCTAAAAATTGTTTTTCAATTTGAAGAAATAATAAGTAAAACATTAATAAATATTTCAAAAAAGACTTAACAGTTTTCATGATAGCTGAAAACAAAATAAAACAATGACCTTATAAAATGTAATCACTGACTCATAACTAATGAATCGCTTTATGTTAGCGAATATTTTACTACATTAAATTTGAAAACAAACAAATTTTTTGTCAGCCGTAAAGTTTTCAGAGTTGTAAGTAGAGTTCAGACTATAACTTTCTAGTTTCTATATTATCTTTTAATAAATCATTATCTTTTAATAAATCATCATCGTCTTTTAAAGACAACTTAAAAAGCGAAGTTCACCAAAATAATATTCATTATATAATTAACACGGCGTATATACATTATGCATAGTATAAAACATCACATATATTATCAACATAATTCTAGTAATAAATTAATGATGTGCCTTACTTTGGACATGATAAAAATATAAAATATTAAAATAATAACATCCTTTTTTACGGATATTTAAATGTTAGACTGACAAATTTTATATTATTACATTTATTATAAATATCTATGATTCATGTATTTGTAGAATATTGTAGAAATCACAACAAATTGAGTTCATAAAAAAGCACGGAAGTTCTACTGCAGTGGACTCAGTGTGCAGATTACAAATTTTGTCTTCTTAGAAAAAGATAATGAAATAAAGTATAAAAACATTTTTTAAAAATTCACTGTAATGGATTTATTAAATTTGAATTCGATGTCAGTTCATTTCATACGAAAAACGAAACTGGGCGAAGGCGGTCTGTTAGCCTGCATTGGATATTAAGCATATTTTACAATACTGCTATATAATAATTTATTCTATTAAAATAGTAGTATAGTAGATTGAATTTAATTCTTGCCCACTGCATTTATTATATTACTACTTACAGCTAGATCCTGCCCTGCGTTGCCCGTGTCAAATTATATACCCATTTATTTACCCTTTCATAAACTCTGTTAAATGTAATCTGAGAACATTTTTATCATTTTTTATCATTTTGGACTGATTGGACTGATATAAAATAGTGGTCAAATATAGTTATAGCCAACCATAACAACTATTTCATTTTCTGTAACCAATACCAAAAATGTATACAATTAGTAAAAAAAATTATTGTATTTTTTGCATCAACTTAATACAACATTTATGTGTTGAAAATTAAAAATGAAGTTAAAATAAGTAGCCTATTATACTCTACAGCTGTTGCATTAGCTACAAAAATGAAAACCACTCAAAAACCAAAATGTGCACATAAAGGTATTCCGCTTAGGTCTTTGATTTCATATAAATGATATCCGCCAGGATCATAATTAATCTTTCATGCCTATTTCGTGATTTTCTCGGGTCAAAACTATAAATTCATGCTTGAGCCCTTATTTAAAATTTAAAATTTAAAAAAATTGTCTTTGGTGTTCACGTCCTTAGGTATAGCAGTATAGGATTACCTGTGAATCAAATCAGAGCATTGAGTCTAATAGACTTTGCTGTGGATCCCTTATATTGTATGAACACACAAACGTTGGAATGTATTGTTATAGATTAATATTTAATTCTGTGTATTTCTATTATATTATATTAATATTATTATTAAATTCTGAGCCAATACCGACTTATCGTAGAATGGTGTAAATATAGATCCATTGTATATAAATAGATAATATCTTAAAACTAATCTAAATCGTTTGAAAATTTCTTTGTGTATTTAAAATATAATAATACACGACAAAGTTTCAAGTCCCCACAAACTACAACAATTTTATAAACATTTGATTCTTGAATGCTTACAAAGAAATATTGTGTACATATTTTTTGAATATTTTTTAATTGGAAGTTACAACAAACAAAATCGATTTTGTTGAAAACTGGTTTTATTCCTTAATAATCCTTGATTTCCTTATTTATTTATTTTTGATTTTCCCCGTTAATTTGAAGAGTGCTCAGCATTTTTACTTTTGAGCCCTCCCTCAAGTACCAACAAGAACCGTTGTTCTACCGGTAATCCTCAGAGTTGAAAATTGAAGCATTTTTACAGCTCGGTACATATGAATATTTTAATTTTAACATACCCTTACAATAAAATATCAGTCTTATAACAGATTTCTGTACAGATATCTACATACAATACAATAACTTGCTTTCACTAAATATACAAATAACCCTAAACAATTATTCTTAATTATCTAATATACATATATTATATATACTAAAGGATTTATTACATTAATTGTATACTTATTTAATAATACTAATTAGTAATTACATTAAAATATAAGTTTCGTATTCTCAATTTACTCATACCTATACATATAGGTACATTTTAATATTGTACACACTATACAGTATATACTATGCATAAGTTCGGTATTGGATACAGTTAGTAGATAGGTAATTGGCCAAATTATAATAACGAATATTAACATATTATTATTCAAGTCTGAAGTCAATGTGAGTATACGCATGTAACGTAATAACGTAGGTATACTAATTGTATGTAAATAGATAGGTTCAAGTTTCACATGTATTAATACTCTGATTTATACTACAATAAAGGTAATTCACTAAGGCATGTATAACACCTCATACACTTTAATAATGCATTTATTCAAATTTATTTATTGGAATTTTTAGTATACTTGAAGTGTTGAACAACATATTTTCAGATACCTACCTATTCATTTACTTAAATTCTTTAAGCCATACTAAAGGTATGACGATACAAACTTATTTAGAACCTCTAATTTTTCAAACAAGATCCTCCCTCAAATTATTAAGCATATTTTGATTTTTCTAAGAACATTGATGCATCTAAATCAAAAAAACGACCTTTAGGTTTCTGAGTTGTTCAGGGATATTAATCCTTAATAATGGTTTTATATAAAACATAAATACATTTTATATTAAGTCTAGTCTAGTTATACTTCGACAATTTTTATAAATTATAAAGTGCTAACTTATTGATGTTAATTACAATAATATTATCAAATCATCGTAGTCCATATATATCTCAATTAATGTTTATAATTAGTAGGGGACATGAAACATCTGTTTATTTTATATAATAGTTTTGAAACTAAACTCGTTTGAATTTTGATTTAAATGTATACATCAATTATTTTTAAAAAATACATGTTATAAAATTAATAGTACATACGGGCGTGGATCTCATTTTGAAAAAAAGAATTTTGTATCATCAAATAATTAAATTCAATTAGATGGAACAAACTATAAACGCAATTTAAAATACGGACTTAATGAGTAATTTTATTATGATCATTGTTATTGAATACAAAATTCACAAAAGTTGTAAGACATATACAGATGTATCATTCCTACCTAACCGTATTTCAGAGTGTTCGCCCTCCTCAATCACTTTTTTAATCAATATGCATGTTAAATACGAATTTAGAAATGTATGAGATATTTAAACATTATTAATATGTAAAGTTCATAGAGTTAATCTATGTTAATATTTTAATTACGGTATGTTTTTTTACTCGTATAATATGGTAGATTATTGGGTGTGTAGCTAATCTAACACTGTATAAACCTAATTATATGTACAATTGATTTATTAAATTCTAAATGGTATTATTATTTTTTATTTAGAAAAACGTTAGGAGAAACAAAAACAAATATACAATTTTAACTATGTTTTGCCTTATATCTATGTATGTTATATTAAGTTTGTATGATATTATAATATTTAGTATATTGTGTGTATACTTGTATTATCCGAAGTATATTATGCTCAAAAATAATTATATAATATTAAATTGATTTAATAATAAGCAGTACAAAATACAGCCATAATTTTACCAGTATAATAATATTAATATGCCAGCCGTTATTCAAAGACAAAATATAATACATTTTAATAAAACGTACATTAAAATATTAAATATTTTTAACAAACGACATCTCACCGTTAATGAAATTCAAGACTGTATAAGTACAAACAGAACCGACCATTGTCTGTATCAAAGGAACAATATTGATTAGAAACGCTACTGATTCGAATAGATTACATAATGCTGTCGTATTTACTGGAGCAATTGTGTTTGAGAGGTGGTATCGTGCTTAAAGTTGGCTGTAGAGAATTGAAAATCGATTACGAATACCCCAAGCTCGAAAACGGGATGTTTCAATAATTTACTACCTATCCAAAAAAATATTACGCTACGTGATTTTAAAACTATCGTTACATTTTAAACAGTTTGTATAATTATAACACACAGATAACTTGAACACTATTTTAAACACATACCTATACCTACTTTTATCTTCAATTTTAACAACAACACATAAGTCGAATTTATACATTTATTTCTCAGTGAGTACGCTAAACACATCATCGATGATTTATCCAATGATTCGACATAATAATAGAATGACATATGAAATATATTTTATGAGATATGGTTATTTAATTGGGCGGTACATTTTTTTTAAAAATAGGGCGCTTAAAAATTAATAGTTAGGACAAAATAATAGACTTTGTCGAAAACGGATCCAGGACTTTTGACCTATCTATATTTCGGAGACATCAGCAAAACTATACTGGTATGTGGGGTAAATTATTTGGGTTTGTCGTTTTTATAATTATTTGCAGTGCAACATTTGACCAAATTGTATATTCAAAGTAGAATAACGACTTTTCCTCGATCGATTTTAATCATTCTGCTTGTAATTCAGAATTACAACATTTATCATATTGTCATAGAGACTAGAACGTTCAGTTATTACTAAAATTAACATTTTCTAATTTCTATACACAATGAAATTGTTTAATTAAACATATATTTAAAGCTAATTTTGAGCTATTCAACGAACTTTTTACCACCATTCTATACACGGTATATCCGCACAAAAAATTAGTTTAACTTCCAGAATTCAGAAAATGCTTACAATTAATAACATAAATATAATATATCGGACATAATGATTTACAATTTACATATTCATTATCCTTGGAAATAGATCCTGCTTAGTCTGATTAGTCTCCCTCAGAATCATATTGTTTTTGCATAGGTACAATGATTTGTTATTGAATTCAAATTTAACACTTTCATAATGGTGACCTGCTCAAAGACAAGGTACACTCGATACCTATGTAATAGATAGTATACAGAAGAGCGAGTTCCCCTGTTTTTATTATTAGTTGTTTAAAATAGTAATAATGAATATTTGTTTTTTGATTCATTAATTTACTAGTATCCTATTATGATTTTTAAGATGATAAATTACAATTCCTTGAATAATTAATGAATTGATGAATTGTAGGTTAATTAGTTCGAGGATTTACTCCTGATAACTCGACACACAATCACTGTGACAGGGTTAAATATTTGACCTACAATAACATCTTCTGGTCAGGTACATAACCTACGAATATGTTGAATATATTATTTAAACCCATTTAACTTTTTAAAATTAGCACACCTTACTGTTTTAGTAATTAAAAATACATCTTCTGCACTTGCATATACTATTTACTAATATATTTATAGATGGCATGACTTTAAATACATAATAATCAATCCTCTTACCTATCAGAACTTACTGTAATCACTATTTTTTAATTTAGAAAATTTTTAATACCAACCATTTCGAGATTTATTTGATACTAGTGGTACCAACAATTTTCCACCAATTATTACTCCCAAACTATTGGTATTCTCGCTTAGACTTGATTTCCAATCGACAGTTATCATTATCAGAGTGGATATAGTAAGATACATAGTAAAAGTTATCCTTTTAAAAACTCCTTCTGGCTTCCATAGTTCTACGTTCAACCCAAAAAATTATCATTGATACAACGAAAAGTGTACGAATAATATAAGATATTGTCACTCAATTTTCAGATAAATATAATTTTAATAAATAGCTCAGTCTTATACTTTACGTTCGTATTATATATATTTTAATTAAGATTAGATTTTAAAAACATTGGCTGTTATATAATTAGGCCACTTACCTATACACATATTAAACTCACCATAATAATTAAATAGGTTAACTATCATATTTATATTTTTATTATTGTTACATTTAAGTAGGTATGTTAAAGTATCCAATGTCTAATCATTTAGTAATACCTCATTTGTTTTTATAAATTGTATTATGCTTTATAATCACACAGGTATATAAATATATATGTATATGCTCTGTAAAAAAATTACTAAGTAATGACGTTTACCACGAGTACTTTTTTAATGAGGATAACAAATAATTGTTCTTGAAATAATGTATTAATTTACATCAGTAATTAACTGATACTACCATACTACTACTACTACTACTACTACTACTACTACTACTACTACTACTACTACTACTACTACTACTACTACTACTACTACTACTACTACGACTATACTATATTCTATACTACCACTCGTAAGCGTACTCAGACTTAATCGCAGATGCAGCATACATAATAAATAAGTGGTTAATTTTTTTACGAGCGTTTACACAGCGAATACAATTAACAATTGTTGGCAGTTTACAATAATTAATAATATTAATATTACAACAATTTACAAGTAATGAGGAGTGCGGTTACCTGTTGAGTTCTGCTCTCTGGCGTCATCTTTCTCTTCGATTCGCGTATACTGTCGCCCGCTATGAATGCCCATGGTGATTCCTTTGCCCCTGCAGTTTCTCTTATTCCTCGGTGCCCATTATTAGAGCTAATTTATTGCTCTGCTGCACTCCTATTCTCCCGGCTATCCAGCAGATTAACTGATGCAATTGACTCTGACATGACGTCCTCGCCTGCTGTGGTCTCAGAGTTATTTTGTAATTAAAACGTTTTTATGAAAAATTCAATTTTCATAACTAATGGTTAAAAATATTATACAAGGTTCATCATACGTATTTCATACATGTAAACATAATAATTAAAAAATATAAAATCTCGACTTTTTTTTAGATATTTTAAGTTGAATTTTAGAGTGAATTAGATGTTTGAACAAAGAATATAGATAATTATTTTGTTTATTTTGCAGTGATTTAAAAATATTATTTGTAGGTATTTTTTAAGTATATTATTATATTTCATACACATAATGACTTTTTCAAATGATATGTTTTCGGCCAAAATTAATTCAACCTACTCCGTACCTACCTATATTACTAATAGTAAAATAATTACTCTAACAGAAATTATATCATAAACATACTTAGTATAGGCAGACAGGTCGTCTTCGCTCAGAATCGTTTGTCGTATATGTCAATCGTGTGTGATGGTTTTTTATCGAATTCAAATTTAACACATCCATTGCTTTGCCCCAATCGACACCTACAGTACAGCAGAGTACACTTGTCCACCTTTTTTTTTAGTGCTACTAAACGAGAACATAAACAGTTTTTTTACCTTAAGTTTGATAATTCACTCAAATATATAAAGCTTACAACACGAAATTGAGTTAGTCGAACGCAAATTTGCTTAGTTGTCAATTCGTAAGACGTTTATGACATATACAAATGAATATTGAATTTTAGTGGTATGACGTCCTTACAATAATCATGAGTGTCACTTGAAATTATTTTTGCATAATGCACACACGCATTTATTTATTTTTTAGGGCATTATTAATGAATTGAAATATGCCTTTTTTCGTTCATAGGTGATAGGTTAGGTTTTTCCCATACATCTGCCCCTCCCCCCATATAAAAGTTATGAATACCGCCACCGACAGCAGCTATTTCTATGCTAATGCTGACGCAGCTAAAGTGCTTTATATCACTATAGACCTCTATATAGTTACCCCTACACTACACTAGGTAGGTACTTCAACGATATCTCAATCACTTCGTTGTATTATTGCTCGTTTAAAATGATTATAACTCAATCAATAAAACTGAATTGAAAAACGAAAAAATTTCAACAACAGTAACTCAATTGTTATTGATACCTATGCTATAAGTACGTTACACGTTGATTTAGACATAAACGTTTTATCATTTTGACATTCACATTATTTTTTACATTAAGACACCACATAGATATTATATTATATTTTCCATAACGTAAAAAGTTATACAGTATGTTATTGTGTACAATGTATAGTATTATATTGTGTATACAAGTTAAACTTAATGTCCGTCGCTTGGCGTAATATATTTATAGACTTTGGGGGACCTTCTAGGATTTGTTGAGATAATTTGACCTTAAAATATTTTACGTTGCACTTATAATAATAAGTCTTCGTGTGAAACTATGCCAATATAGTATAATCCTTTTAAAACCATTTCTACAAACATTTATTATTTAAAATGAACCTATATCTACATTTCCATTTTGTTATTATACTAATTTAGGATTTGCTAACTACAACCTAAATCATCATATCCATTAAAAGAAAATAATTTATGGGTACAGTGTGTGTTCCAAGATAAATGTATCACGTAATATTTCAAACGAATGATTCTCCATTTCATTTGCGTATTTTACCACATAAAAAGCTGAATATTAAACTTATTTTTGAAAAAATGTAATTTTTTCCATGCATGAGATGCAAAACAAAATTATTTTGAATTCCACCCTCTCTCACTTTAGTTAGAATTTTAACTAAGTATTTTTTTTAAAGTAACTTTGACTTTTCAAATATTTTCTATCTTAAAAATTGACTTTTTATGGGTGAGTAAAAGTTTTGATTTATGCATTTTGCATATTATTGTATTTTTGAATAGTCTATCTTCCATTTTACGAAGGTCAATGTCATTTCGTGAAAGTTTTTCAAAAATGTAGTTGGGCGCCGTAAGTACGAAATTAGATAGAACTCAATTTTTTCAAAAATAACTGCATTATTAAATTCTTTATAATGAAGTAAAAAAAAAACACAAATGGAATTGAGGGTCTTTTGTTCGAAATATTTTGTGTTACCTTTATCGTTGAACACAATGTGTCAATATAAATTATTTGCTCTTAACGAATACCTAGGTAGTTTTAGGTTGTATTCTGTGAATTCTTTTCGTACATATTTTATTGTAGTTAGGACTATGAGTACCTATTATATTCCATATTGTATAATATATTTCATTACCTGTTGTTAACACTATATAGTTCCAAACTTGCAATATTTAGTTTTGTTTAGATTCATTTAATGAATCGTATTTTTGTTTTACTGTAATATGCTAGTAGTTTTAGTAACCCAAAATTGCCGTCTACTTTAGGTTCCTATACAGAACTGATGCAGCTTTTACTTTCTTTCGAGTAAGACTGTAAGAGTTAGTATATTATAATGTAGATACCCTTGCAGTTACTATAAATTATAATATAGGTAACAAAGAAAACCCTATATAATAATCTCAGTGGCCAGTTACATACAGTACCCACAACCACTTAAATATTAATATTTTACTTAATATGCAATACGACACTATACAGTCTAATGTCTAGTCTCCTAGAGTAGTGTTGTAGGTAGGTATGTACAAACTTACAGCTTACTCTGACGAAATCGTTACCCCAGTGAATAACGATTTATTACTGCAGTGTAACGGGAACGATAATATTACTCAAATTATCGTAAAGCAATTAAATGTAGAGAATATGACGTTTAAAGGAGATAATTAAAAGTCGATGTTACGTATTCTGTATTTGTATAGGTAAGTATATAAAAAAACCTAAAATTATAAGTATACTTATTCGACAAGATGAATAGTGATGTATTAGGTATATTGTATATTGTTATATGATATAATAACAAATAACAATCGACAGCAAAAAAAGCACAAAGTTTTTTAAACATAATAATTTATTAAGTGATAAATACAAGTTATTGGATATAAATGTATAATAACATGGTATAAAATATATTTGGTAATAAAACATTAAAACAATAATTTTGATCTAGAGACTAGGACGAAATACTATTAACACAGACTTTATGCGTGTATTCTGCTGTCAAAAGATACAGGCGCGTTAAATGTAATGAACAAACAAGTTTTTACATTAAACATCAATATACATCATACAATATAGAAAACTAATTACACAGTAATGCATCGTGTAATTACACAAGCGCTCCATAATTCGTAAATACGCTGGTAAATCGCTTTGGTGGTAACTTTGGTCGGTTTAACGAGAAAAACAATATACATAAAAACTAGACTTTAAAATGTATTGCCGGACAAAAAATATTTAACTACCAACAGGACATATATTATAATTAAAAACTATTTTGAAAAATAAAAAAGTTAAAATTTATACAGTATTATAATAGCAATATTATGTTGGTACACTTAAACTGCCTTATAACAGTTCAAATATTTTATACTAAAACGCGGTAATAAAACTATACATGTTCACCACCATGCGGCTAACCCTGTTTCAATGTACCATAACATTATATAAAAGTAATTATTATAACATAGTATAAAAATAATTATAATAGCATAATACCTACGCGCAATATTGTTTATTATATAATAACATAACATTTATAAAATACAGAATAAAAATAACGATAAATACTAAATCACAATGGAATGATTGGAAAACCAACAAAATATAAAAGTATATTATAAGTATATACAGAATAATAATCTATTGCAATTTAAATTAATATGACTACAACTAATAAAATGGAATAAAATGTATTCCATCAACTTATCACCTGAAAAAATTTGGTAACCGCTTTTAATATCATTCTAAATGTATCCTTCGCCACTGGTACAAAATAACACGAGAATAATAAAACAATGTCCTCCACCTGTATCTAAACTTCGCGATGAGTCGGGAAAAAAAATTGGTGAACAAAACATAATAACATAGAGTGAATGAAAACAAAAACAAATATTATTGAGAAAGTTTTTGGTAGTTTCGCGAAACGACAACGAATATTATTTTGTTATTACGATGAAGTATAAAAATAACAATTATTATTAGACAATAAATTTAATATATGTATACTCTTACATACGATATGTATATACATAATTAGATATACTAAATACTATTTAAGAACATTTTAGTATATCACTAAATATGTCCATCAAAAATAAAATTAACAGAAATAGGCCTATATTATATTATATTAAAATTATATCACACAAGAATTAAATTCGAACGATTAATTACGTTTTCCCACAGCCTGGAATACCTATCAAAATGTTCTGCTATCGTCAATACTCTATGGTATTTCAGGTAGATATATGGGTGTTTAAATTTTGGAGTAACTTTAATTTTTAAGTATTTCACATTTTTTCAACAACACAGTGAGTCCCATTTCGATTTTATTTTTTCGAAAAATATGTTAAGGCCGGCCGTATAAAAAAACAACAGCGGTAAATAGAGAAATCTGTTAATCACAAACCCGCGCAGTCGATCGATTTCCAATTAATAGGTTTCACGACACTCGACGACGATAACTCGCTAAGAATGAGTAATGGTACATCATCATCGTTTATCAGGATTAAATCAACACATTTATTACAAATACAGAAAAGTGTTACACGTGCAGTAGGTAGACGGCTAAAGAGTACACTATACAACGTCCCGCTGAGGTAGCCCGCGGTTTATCTTCGAGGAGATGATTAGTGATTTTACGAATGTTTCACAATGCCTATATTATAGTCAAAAACAAAAAAATCCCATGAAATATAGAACCAATATAAAATATAATTATATGTAATAACTCCGAGACTATAATCGACTGTTCATTAAACGATCAATGAATGAATGTATCAAATAGGGGACACCTTGATTGTTTCACTTAGGCGAAGTAAATAAAAAAAAAAAATGATAAAAATATGATGTATCTTTAAACATGAAAAACATACGTTACTCAATATTAAATATCAGAGAGGAAGAAAGATAAAATTATTTTAAGATAATAATATTAATATCAATTATTATGACTATTATATTGTTCCATCGTACCTAGTTAAATTTCTTTTTATTAAAAAAGTTCTTACACCACGGAAACAACGCGCGCTATGGACGCTAAAACTTTGATAGTATTTTGAGGTAAATTGGTTTCCCTCGGAAGAAATGTACAACGATTTTATAATCGTATATATATACTAGAAAACGTTTAAGAATGGTTAAAGGCTGTTGCAGAAGACCGTTTTCCTTTAACACCGAAACAAATAAAATTCCCCGAAGTTGGAAAACAAAAAACAAAAATAAAATCTTGAAACCACCCCCATATATTTTATTTAGGTATTAGTGATTAAAGTGGGGTACTGAAATGTTCACTAAACAATCCATCGGACATTGTCGGATCGCGCCGAACCCAGACGATAATTATTATGACGATTAAGTGTCACATTTGGCGTCGATCGGATTGAAAGTTTTAAACCGATGACCGGGAGGTCTGTTATAATACATAAATAATAATAAAATATATGTACAAAAACCTAATTTTCCCTGGAGATCACCGTCTTACTATATTATGTACACGGACCGAATCGATTGCACAATATATTATTCTGCATAATATATTAGTTTATAACGATGTCATAATACACGATAGGTAATTATATCGTCCTTAAAAAATCGCCTGACACGTCGACGATGTATTTTTATCGATTAAATTAAATTTAAGACAACATTTTAAACATGACGCATCTACTATTATTAAACTTCTCTATACCATAGGAACTACTTCGTTTATCCGACATATTGTCCAACGGATCCGACGAAATGTATGACTTGGTACTACGACAGGAAACGAAAGGAACCTAGAATAAAACTGCGCTCGAATCCCGACCGAATCAATTGCGTATACCTATAAATAGAGTGATGTTTTTATTATATTATTGTGACAGACGCGGTCATGATGAGTGCGGTTCACTCTGATTGGAAAAGGTTTTAAAATATATACTTAATTCGCGCCAACGAATACAATCGTATGAAATTTGTTTTTTTTTTTTTTTTTAAATTTTTAATTTTGTCCATCTGCTATAAACGCCAAGTCGCGTTTTCACGAAGACACAAATGTATGTAAAAATATATAATATGTAGACAGACCGGAGTAGAAACGATTTTTTTTCGGGGCGCGAGCTCGGACGAAGTACCGCTGCGACGGATATGCGGGCGGACGACACGATCACGCTCTCAACTCTTCCAGGTTGTTGTAGTATTCGACAGCATCGTGGACGGACGGGAAGAACTGTACCGTTCCGAGTTGCCGGGCTCTCATGCAGTCGTACACGTTGCCTGACACGGCGGCCACGTACACCAGCAGGCCGGCCTCGTTGAGTTGATCGACGAGCCGAGTGAACATGGTCAGCCCAGAGCTGTCCACGTAATGCATACCGGACAGGTCGAACACGACGCACTGGGCTCGGACCACTGTCTCCTTGCCACTGTTTATCGATATGGTGATGGGGGCCAGCTGCCCGTCGTACCGGGACAGCACGCCTTGCACCTTTTCACGGAACACGTTCCGGTTGGTCACGTTCAGGCTGCCGGAGTAGTGGACGATCCGGACGCGAGGCACTTCGACGGCCCGCCGGTACCTGTCCATGTCCACGTACAGGTCGGTGTCGGGTATTCGGCCCAACACCACGACGCCGGTTCCAATTCCCTGGCTGAACACGAAGAACAGCGACACGACCACGCCGGCTAGCAGCCCGACGTCGATTTCGACCAGCACCACGGTGGCGTAAGTGGCTATCCAGATGGCCGCGTCCGCCTTGGACGTCCGCCACACGCGCACCACGTCCCGCACCTGGAGCAGTATGTCCTTGAGGGCCACGATCGTGATGCTGGCCAGCACGCACCTGGGTAGTGGCTGGAACAGGTGGCCGATCCACAAGACGACGGCCACCAGCAGACCGGCCGACACGATGCTGGCCATCTGGGTGCGGCCGCCGACTGTCTGCTGCGTGGCGCTGCGCGACAGAGACGCGGCGAACGGCAGGCACGAGAAGAACGAACCGAACACGTTTCCGACGCCCTGGGCCAGCAGCTCTTGGTTCGTGTCGATCGAGTACTTGAGCTTCTCGGAGAACAGCAGTGCCATGGACATGGTGATCGAGTACGCGACGATCGCGATTATCACACTCTCGGTGATTACGCTCATCAGCAAGTTCACCGGCGGCGGTTTGAAGTCGGGTAACCCTCTCTCGATTTCACCTATCTGCAACAAAAATCGTCAGTACATTGTACCAGTTAGTGATGGTATTATTGTGAAAAATGTAATTAAGTCGGCTATATAGACAATAATAATATTAAATATAACTGCCGGCAATTCGGTGTAAGGTCTTTGCCTTGTGATTACCCTATCCATCTGCTTAACCGATCCGTGGTTTGATATTAATACATTTGTTTAAGTAATTAAGTTAACTGATCAGCATAAAACAAGCGTACAGCCCACATGTAATGTAACCACGGTTAGTTGGCAAACGCGTTTGTTATCGTACGTTGTCCTGCGGTAAAACAAGCGTTTGTCAGTGAGTATTTACGTTTTTAAATTGTAGAAGTATGTAGGTACAATATAATATAGCTGTATGGTGGTAATATTATTATGAAGACAGAGATTTAGGTCGTAAGAACAGGAGCTGGTAAAGAAGGTAATTGGACAAATTTGAAAAAAAGTCTGGGTGCTGCATAAGCGGCACCCAGAAATAAGACATTGCACACAAAGTGAATATATTGTAGTATATAATTAGGATCAAGTCAAATAAAGTATTAGTTTATAAATGAAGTTGGTTCAGTTCTATAAGGTATAAAAATCCGTTCAATAATAAAGACATCACATCACCAAGTCTTTGAGGTTTCGTTAATAAAAGCTGTAACGACTAAAGTACCAGTGAAATAATGAGTGTTGGGTAGTTAGAGAAAGAAAAGATAAATCAATGTTATCATCATGTATTTTAATTGAATTGTGTGTGTTAAAATGTATACTCCTACGACACTTAACCCGTTTATAATATAATACCCATTGATGATTATTGGCTATTATTGGATGGAACAGAATAAAGTATTAATTAGCGTATTGCAACGTAGGCAAGTATATGAATAATAATAAAAGTCTATTAAATTAATTAGTCATAGTCAATAAAACAATATTTTCAACATATTAACAATAATAACTCTATATCATCTATAGGAGTGTATAATAATAACAATAATAATAATATAAAGTTACTAAAAAAATTGTTAGATAATAATATAATTTTATAAAATCGACAGTTATATTGGTAACCAAATCAAGGTACCCAGCAATAAAATCACGACTTACGTTTCGACTAGAATGTTGACTAAATGGAAATAAAAACTATTCGTATAATATGGAAACCTAATATGATATAAATTAATATAAGCTCAAAGTATACAAATACTGACAATACTTATAATAGATATGATTTTATTTGAATCTTATAAAGATTTGCAAATTTTGAGTAACAGTGCAGCTATAAAATCATACATTTCTTGTCACGAATTCACGAGAGTGAACAAATATTTATAAACTGATATCTCGAGAGCTAGCAGCGTATAAACGTTAACGTGTAAACTAACTCCAAGCTATATGTATAAAACTTGTATAACAACAATTGATACTCAAATATTAAGACAAATAATTTAATAAAGTTATCATTTCTTATTATGGAAAAGGTTATCTTTATTAAATGCGTATAGTCGTTTTTGTAGCTAGTAAATCATTATTTATTTGAAATAAAATGTTTACTAAAAGGCTGATTTTAAATACAGACATTAATATAATTAAACTAAAATAAATATCATAAGACTAAACGTGTTTAATGAATTATTTAAATTCAACTGAATTCATTTATTTAAGTATTTATACTGTCATGTCTAGTAATATCATTAGAGCGAAGTGTAATTTTTGTCTGAGTGCGCAATAATTATAAACACAGAAAACTACAACAAAATGTCATTGTAGTAATAATCATTAATCCACGGCACAATTCACTGATTACTTCACAATATTGACTTATAGAGTAGGTATGTAAGCCACTTCGAGATAAAAAGAAGAAAAAAAAACTATGACAACAAACTATATTCGATGCGACGACACGTTTACACGACTTATAATAATAACTGTAAAAGTAATAATAGTCCTGAGAGGGCGCTTTCAAGTAGATACTTGTAATACCGAAACATAATGTCGTAATAGAATACAAATTAGTTAATGATGCACCTAACCACTAAAGCGGCAACATTAATCCATTTTCCCTGTTCCGCTCGTCTGATGTAATATATATACCGGATGATCCATTGAACGTAAGACACACATTATTTTAAAAGCAGTTTTTTTACATCATTTTAAGTCGTAAGAGCATCATTTATCTAATAAAACATAATTTTTTTAATGAAACTTTATGAAACTTCTTAAAACGGGTTACAAAAAACAACCTACAAAATCGGCCGTCATGATACACAGTACATATGGTTTGTTTTTGTAAATAAAAAAATAATTAAAATAATTAAACTATACTGCGGTGTCAATCAGACTTGCTGTGTGAACAACTATATAGCGGTACGATATATGACCCTATCGGCCTAACTTCAAATAAATAAAAATTAGATCATAATTTTGTTCTAACAATTCACAAATGGTATTTCAGTAATACAAATAGAAACCCAGAGCTTATATTACAATTGTGTAAAATGTAAATGTAAGAGTGATAATTTAATACAATCCTAATATTTAATCGGTTGAATGACTAAAAGAAGTTTCACTTCATCCGTGAGAATATTTTGCTAATTTGTATCATCATCGTTTTTTAATTTTTTTTTTTTAATGAAAATATGCATTTTGAATTCCTGATTTTAAAGCAACATTGATGTACTTACTTGGATGTTTAAAAATCAAATTTTTGAGTAGTTATTGTGAGTTAAAGAAAGTACCTATTTAAAATGATTAAAATCTCGCAAAATGTTGGTCCACCACTCCACTAATTTAAACTTTAAATTCCTATATAACGTTATTACTATAGTAGTAACTAACTGTCTTAAATTGTATTTTTAAAGATCGAAATATATCGAACAATAATCGGCTTCGGGATATAAAATTAAAAATGTATGTTGTTATTCAAATGAGAAAAAAAATAATTAGTAAAAATAGTAAAAAAATATTTTTTTCCAAAAATGTTGTTTTGTAATGACTTGAAATTATTATGTTCACAAAATAGATTTAAAAACGTCAGTGTTTTCTGAAATAATGAGTGTCTTACTTAAACAGATCACCCCGTACATATTATTGTATATAATATTATCTACCAACATACAATATACGAAAAAAAAGATGAATACAGATGGTTATGTTAAGACCACCAATCGTATAATTATGACCCAGACAAAACAGCTCATGAATCACGTCAATCACGCATGTCATAAAACCTGCAATGGTGGCCCCTCGGCAATCAAAGATAACAAAACAAGTTGATACTCATCAGAAAATGTATAATTAAAATCGTGTAATTCATAGGTAGTTACATTAACTAATAAGTAAGTAAACATAGAAGTGAGTAACTATAGATTGCATGTTTGAGTGAAGCAGTTGATATAACATAATAGGTCATTTATAATATTAACAGTTATAAAATATTATTTGAATTTATTATTGCTTTAACATTTTATAATAAATTAAGTTTATCAATTTAATTAAATTAAATATGTTGTTTACGGTGTACAAGTAAGCAACACCAGTCACGAGTTTAAGAGCTGAGTTTACGTATTTTTGCTGTACATAATATAATAATGGCGAACGGTGGTGTGAAAGCGAAGCCCCCGCCGTTCTGCGTAATAACATTTAGGTGGTGGTCTATGTCAAACATACTTATATACAAAGTAGTAGAATTTATGTCGTTGGTAAAAAAAATGTGTACACGGCTCTGTTTGAGGAGAGCCACGCTCATAGACAGTGTTTATTCAATCCGGAACAAACCATAATTTATCAGATGTAAAATGCATATAATATAACATAATATTATATTATTATGTGCTCGATACTGGAAGCGTGGCTGTATATTATATGCTCGAAGGGGGTTGGGTCCCGCCCCGTATCGACTATGAAATGCAAGCTAGAAGAGTATTTTATCTACGAGTTACACAATCGTGTATTTTCTATTCCTGACATGTGTCTTATTATTAAATTATCTTTATCGTCTATGTTCCTACGCATAGTGCATTGGCGTGTTGCCACGTCAGAATCAAATAAACTTCTGCTGTTATCGCTTTGTTCACCAGACGCTGCAGGACAGTAACATATTATTATTATTGAATTTAAACGCGACGATGGCAAAATTAAACTTATAATGTGGTTTGGTACAAACGTGAAAAATCACCTAAGTTAAACTAAAACCTTGAAAACTATAAAAAAAATCCGAAAAATGTGAACAGCAAATTTAAAGCATAGAATATAAAGCATCAAGCAACATGCACAATATGTCAATGTCTCAAATACATAACATACCAACATAGTCATCGTATCATTCTCTTTCATTTGGTACTTACTAATCATACTACCCTCTTAGTACTATTCGGTCTACACGTGACATTTTTAAAATTCATGACTTCGAGTAGTAAAGATTCAAGATTCATGACAAGTAAACGTTAGAAATGTATCATTACTGAATTCAGAATTTTATGTTAGACGTAAATACTATAATATAACATCATGCATTTAAAGAGTGTATTGTAAATACTGTTTTTTTTCTCGTCCGTCGAATTAATTTATGCGAGCAGCCTTCGAAGTTCGAGTAGAAACAGTGGTTATACATCGTCCAATGCAAATTCGATAACAAATAAAATTCTAGAGTCTGGAGTTACAAAAAACCCTAGTTCGAAGAATATAAAAAAAATAATTTAAATCACTTAAAATCACTTAAAATACCTATAAAATAATATCTAATAGTATAATATCTTCTATACCTAGTTTTTGTTTTTATAAGTTTTTAATAATGATAATGTACTACATGCAGAAATGTTCCTATAATACATGTCCCACCTTATATTTTTTACTTAATATTAATGTGACAGACCCAATTATTCTTCTTCCGGTCCCTACTGCTACTCTCGGCTACTGCTTGTCGTGCAAAATAAACCGTCCCTAACCCCTAGTAAAGACACGCGATACTATAACAGTGGATACACTTACCAGTTTGATTTGATAGTCTTCCGAGAACGTGGTGAACTGGAAAAGCGCCGTCCCAGTGACGATGGTGATGAGCTCGATGGGTACGGGCATGAACAGGCGCTTGTTGATGAAGGCTTTCAGGTGTGTATTGTAGGTTAGCAGCAGAACTGTGGTGATGATGGACACGGTGATCGTGGCGAAGTTGACGTCTCGTATCCGATTGCCGATGTCGTAGTAGGTGAGCACGATCTGGAACAGCCCGTTGTGGTTATCGATCTTGACGCCCAGCAGCTCCTTCATCTGGGAAGTGACCACGTGGACAGCCGCGCCGGCCGTGAACCCGCTGACCAGCGTCTCGGACAGTATCGTGCACACGACGCCCAGCCGAAACACGTACATAAGTATCTGTATGAGGCCGACCATCAGAGTGACCGCCGTGGCCACCTCGATGGGCGTGTACACAGCGGCCGCGTGGTGCGGCTGCAGAGATACCGCTTGGTCAATGAGCGTCCCGGCTGTGGCGTCCGCGTCGATGTTGGCGTTGATGTAGTTGGCGTTGGAATTGGCGTACATGCTAACCACCTTGCCGGTCATCAAGCAAACGACCGAAAACGACCCCATGGACACGTGTCTGGATGTACCCAGCAGACTATAAACGATGACGGGCATGATGGCCATGTAGAGGCCGACGGTCGGGTCCACGTTGCCGAGCATAGCGTATGCCATGCCCTGCGGTATGTTTAGCACGGCTACCGTAAAGCCAGCCACGAAGTCCTTGAAGAAGTCCTCCGACCAGTTGTAGTTGGTGAACAGCCAGTCGACTGCTGGCACCACCGTTTTTACGTCCGACCACTTCAGCTTGGATACCTTTTTCCGCTTGGCGGTCGCCTCCAGGTCCACGTCCCCGTTAACATTGCAGTCATGCAGATCATCCATCTGATAAACCGGCCGCTTCACGTTGATCACCACCGACCCACTCATCTTACCCATGACTCGGCTGTAGCTACACGACCACACAACAAACAGAATAATTGCTATTAATTATAACACTTTTAGAGTACAATGTAATATTTTGTTGTACGACTTAATTATTAAAAAATTAGGAATCTGTGCCACTTGAAAGCTCCAACTTTGCAAATCGCAGTTTGTAATTGTTGTTATTAAAAATAAAATATGAGGAAGATTGATTAATATACAAAAATGTACTTAAATAATAGAGGGATTTAAGTATTTAATTGATAACAGTAATTTTTTTTACCGTGAATAGAGAGAAAAAAATTTTCATAATATTATTATATCGTGTTATATGTAAGGGAAAAATTGTCTTGCTCATGATCTCTGAGCATAACATATAGTGTATGTATATGGATATATATATATATGCATACAAACTCCCAGGACATTTTGATTGAAAATATTGACTGACAACCTTTTTTACTTTCATATAAGACCTAATATCCTATAAGACCCCTAACCTAGGTAGTAGGTACTGCAATTTACTATTGTCGTGTATGTTATCAAAGTAACCAATTCGTAGATTTTCTCCTTTCAATCAAGGACATATAATCCAAGTATCTAATAAATGTAATCTATATAATATAATGCAATTGTTTACGAATAAATCGATATTGGTATACTGGTATTAGATTCATTTATGAAACACATGCGTAAAATAATAAGCGTACGTAAACAGCAGAACAACAAACTGAGCCGAACTTAAAAAATGACTATACAGACAGGTACGCATGTAAAATAAATACCTACATTGAAATACTTGAAAACATAAAATAATCACATGGTAAAACAATTTGTATAAATCACGATAAAATTATTTTAATTTTCAACAATAATAGAAAAAAAAAACAATACGATACAATTTTTTTTTCTAGTTAGATCACCTACTTATACCCGTGTTATATAAAAGAGTTATCAAATTAAGTTATTTAAATTTTAAGCCAATTTTCATTAACAGAATAATATTTTATTAAAGGTTAAGTAGCGTATCTTATAACATGATTATAATTATTAATAAGCCGCAATACTATAATATATTCCTGCAAGTCTGCAGCGATAATACATTCGACTAATTCATTTCATATCCGCATGAATACGTCTACACGTTAACAAAACATTTTAAAAACTGCTACTATCGTTTTCTATACAGATATATCCAAATAAACTCCTTGTGTTGTTATTAAAATATTATTATCGTCGGTATTGTTATTTTATGGTACCTACATGGCTGTATCACAAGTCCACAAGTATATTATCCGCAAGTCAGTAACATTTGAAAACGAATAGACGAAGTATCGATTTATATACACTCACTCCCTTTGAGTACACTTCAGTGACTATACTATAACTATAGGTACACTCATAAACGTATACGAGGTAAATCAATTTTGTTTTCAATCCTGAAAATTCTAGAGATCCTACACCAACACACTATAGTTCATTCCCATAGCATAAACAATAATTAAAAACAGCTTTCAAAACATTTATCTCACACGATCACTTCCCCTTCTGTTTTATACACTATAAAAACTGTATACATACATAGGTAAGTATTGTATATATAATATATCATTAAATCATCGATACGTAGATTTATTCATAAATAATAGTATATCGTTAAAGACGCGAATAGAGTATACAGTCGCATTCGAGTTAAATTATCAAGACGTGTACCGAATACCAAGAAATATAACGAAAAACATAAACGGACGACACGAAAAATAATAATAATTTTTTTTTTATCATAGTATCCATAGTATAATACCTGATTTTATTATTGTAATTTTGTATTTTATTAAATTAAAAAGTATAATTAAGAAATGTATATTTTATTTATTGATCAACTACCACCGATGAACCTTCACCGATATACACTCACACCTTCAGACGCTTCGGCTACAAACTTAAGGTCATTATAATAATATAACAATATACGATACAAATCATATAAAAGTATTAAAAAAGAAAACCTCCGACAATTTTTAATTATTTTGATATTGATTGAAAGAAACTTTCACTTTTTGTTTGACGAAAAACAAATAGGCGCAAACGTTTTATTTCTTCCCTTATACTATAAAGTAAACACACATATTAACAGTAGTACTTTATTTTGATATTCATAAGCAATCTATATAGTATGATAATCTTACTGCGGTACATTAAACTGTAGTCATAAATGAATGACAAAATCATTTTCACATATTTTCAAACGCTTTTCCTAAGGGTGGACTAAACTATGTTGGTATGGGTGAATAATGAATCTCGCACACTAAGTGGCTTAACAATTTCACAATTCCTCGTTATTTTATTCCGTTATGTTAGAGTTTTTGAAAAGAAGACAGTGTGTTTTTTAAATCGATAGTATAAATCATATAAGTGATATAACCAGGATTTGAGGCCTTAACGTATTTGTAATTTGAAAATTATTTATTTGAATAAAAAAATAACAGAAAATTGATTCAATACAAGTCTGTTTCGTGATATTTGGATTTCAAATTTAAAAGAAGTCAATTTACTTTTGTATATTTTAATTTTTCCCTCGTAGATGCACATTGTACAGATGGTTGGGTTTTAATTGAATATTTTACTAAGAAAAATCAAATCAAAAAAAAAAAATGAATAAAAAATAGTGAAATATCTACGTTTCCTAAAATAGTAAAAACACTTGATGCAATATAAAATATATCATCATAGACTTTAATACCTAAACAAAAATTAAACAAAGAATACTAATAACTAGGTAATAAGTTATAACAATAAAATATTATGTGATATAATATGTATATTGCATATAGGTGCGGAGTGTTTTTTTCTTAATAACGCATAAAATACTTAGGTAGATAATATTATTATAGGTATAACACATTATTTACATTTTAAAAACGTATGCATGCTTTAAAGTTTTAAGTATAATATATTCTTATTGTTTTTCACTGATAATTTACTACTAAAAATTTGTATCTATTTTGTATTTAAAATCAGCTATTGAACTGAAGGCATAACTGAAAGATGCAAAAACCTAATTTTTAAATATCCATTTATAAGTCACTGTGTATATTAAAATAAATGGACTGCTGTGAATCAGACCATAGTTTCTCTGTAATAGTCACGGTTATAACAACATGTATCGAATTTCAGTATTTATCATCAATTCATCAATATCATATCAATCATATTAATAAGTTAAGACTACTCGTGTCTATAGCCAATATATATACGTGTAATCTCAGAACTAAAATATTCTGCCTAAATACCAGCATGTCAACTATTTAATAATTAATATTATAGTGATATCAATAACGCAATGGTAAATTGATCTAGAATATCGTTTTCAATAATTAAAAATATCTATAATGAAACTAAGTGTATGAGTACAAACACTAATGGCGGAAAACCCCACAACCGAAACCACCGCTATACAATTGTTAAATCATATTCATGAAATATTTTTCAACAAACAATTCCACATCATGAACAAATTAAATCAGGAATTTTTTATTATTTTACAATCGACATCGCTTTAAAAAAACATTCGAAAACTGTTGTCTAGTTAATCAGAACCGCAAAAGCTCAACATATAGTAGAAAGAACAATTATAAGCATAGCCAAAACAATCCAAACAATCATATTTTGGTTGTTAAAATAACTCGAATTGTAATTTCAAGACTCAAATAATTAATAAAAAAACAACTTTGTTAAACTGTAAGACCAACAATCGTACACCATAACGACAAAACAGTTTTGGAAATAAATAAATATAGGTATTTCATAACGTTTTACGAAACATTGTACAAAAAAACACAAATATTAAATTAATGAAATTATTCACCCAAAATTAAATCATTTGTAATATATACCTCACTGCACATTCTCATTTTAGTGAACCACATTCCCGAGCGAATGAGGATCAAACAAACATCTTTCGTTAGACGGCCGGTGATAACTACTACAACAAAGGCCCACGTTGTAATGAAGTTTAATGGAAAATAAAAATTAAATCAATGTAGATCGCGATTCATGTCGATTATAAAAGAAGTGGGTACAAACTGCAGGAAAACAACAGTGGTAATATAAAGATCGATCTGGATTACAATATTATTATTAGTCTTATTGGTATAACACAATTATGAATATTTAACAAGTAATTATATAAATAGGTACCTACATAGCATCCGTCCGATGATTTTACCGTGTAAAGTCAAAAATTAACTAACGTAAAAAAAATTGTTCGAAAACTTTAAAAACCATACACAACTACGACATTATGATATTTATTATATACGTGTAAACAAGTGTTCGAAACTGCGAACCAACGACATACGATTTTCCGCTGAGCATATGTGTACGTAGTTCGCATGCGATAATGTAATAAATTATACTTACAGACGACAATAATAATTAATAAGCGGGATAATAATATAAATGCGATACGATAATAATATATAATAATATGTGATTGCAGCACGAAATACCTATAGAAGATTATCGCTCATTATTTGAAAAATATTTAATTTATAGGTAGGTGCGTAGAAGTGAATTAAAAACATTATATTTATTATTTAAAAGGGTAGGAGGCTAGAAGTCGATTAAAATTGTTTTTCACTACGCATATTAATTCATCATTTTTTTTTAAATTTTAGGATTCTATTACTACCTATATATTACATAAAATTATTATAAATGTTTTTTTTAAGAAAACAAGAACCAGCTCTCAGGAGGAGAGGGAGAGCAAACTTACCATCACCCCACCCACTCAATTACACCACTCTATGAAAGTATGATTTACAATATGCGTCTTATTACGAAGGCACTTACGAGAAAAGTAAACCATATTTGAACACGTTCGGCGAGTAATTAAAAACACTCTGCTAGTGCAGAATTATAATATCGACGGCGTCGTGTAAATAAGGCTGCTGTTTAGGCTAGTACGCATAATTATCTTTTTTCTGTACGTATGTACTAATGTACTATGTATCTTTGAATAATAAT